TAAAAGGGTCGTTAACAGCAAGTTCGAACAAATGTACACTCAAACGCTTAAATCAGGGGATATTGCTGTGTTTTGCTTCTGGCTTTTTATTTGTGGGCCAGTTAATAATTTCTTAAATTTGATGCATTATGTTGTCCTGGTAGTCAATAGAACAATGTTTTTTTTATAATGGTCAAGAGAACAGATTTAACGTCACTAATAATATACCAAAATAAATACATAAAGAAAATAAAAGAAAGTAAAATAAAATAAATTTGAGAAGTTTTTTTACAGGAATAAATTAGAGAAGTTAGCTAGCCTGGTAAGGTACAACAAGTTTTGCTGAAGAATTGAAGATAGTAAAGAGAGATGGACTGGGTCTTCGATTACGTAGATATATTGTTGATTTTAATCATCGGCCCAAAAAAAGAAAGAGAGAATATGAATATCTATTCGGTGACATTTGCTTCCGTGTACAACAGGAAAAAGTCACCACTGTATTATGCTCTTAAATGAGCATTTTTATTATAGTTTGAAGTATTGATTCTTTTAAAGTATAACTTCAAATTGTATTATAATATTAAAAGTATAAATTGAAATTGTATCATAAAAGAATTTGACATTTATGTTATGGTATATTTTAAAGTTGTATCATAACATAAATATACGACTTTAGTTTATAAAATAAATATTTTTTACAATAAAAATAAAAACTAAAACACCAATAAAAACATTGTATAATTCCTCCCCAACATATATGTATATATTCCGCATTGCTAAATAGGCTAAAAGAATTGACAGCAATTAAATTAATTTGTCTTGAAGTACACGACCAAGTCCACACGCCTGGCTTTTATAATAAAAATGTCCACACGGCAAAGCTACAGCGCTATTCATAATAAAAATAAAAATAAAAGCTACAGCGCTGTTATTATATTTATGACAAGAAAATGGTAACATCTTGATCCTGCTTTTAAGAAAATATATGTTACGGTTACTTAAGTTACATGGTCAAGTAGGGAACCGTGTTCTAGCTTTAATAAGTCACTCGGTTGTCTAGCAGTGTCTTAGTCACATAGGAAACGCTGTCTAATCCCAACCATTGTAAAGTTATAAATAATTAAATAGGTCAAATACACTTGTATAGTCAAAACTTTGACGTTTTTGACAAATATAGCCACTTTTGGAGAAATATCATAAATAGCCAGAATTTTGAAAGTTCGATGACAATTCTAGCCATTTCCGTTACATAGTTTGACGGCGTCAGTGACACTGTTAGTCTAATTAAAGAAACGATGATGTGGCTGCCAACTCACCGTATCTTTCCTTCCCACCTCAGCATCCATTGACAGGTGGGATGCCATGTCATTTTTAATCGGTAAAAAATAATTACCATAAATAAGGGGAATCGAATTGAAATTGTTCTTCTTTCATTTCCCCTTCTCCGTTTCATTTAGGGTTTCCTCGCCGCACTCGTCGACGAACCCAGCTCCGCCGCACTCGCACTCGACGACGACCCAACTCCGCCGTGTCCTTTTCTTTTAGCGCAGACCCAGTCTCTCCTGTTCAGCAAAGACCCCTTCTCCTCGTTCCGCAGCTTCCCTGTCTTCGATGTTACTCACCACCCACGACCGCCGCAGATCCGCGAAGTCCCCTAACTCTGTCGTAACTACCTCTCCTCTTGCCGATTGTTTCCTTCACTCATTCACGGAGGTTCGTCATGTCTCACAGGGATGGTTCATCTTCCAGAAACGAGAACAACATTGGGGTAGTCTGTTGCTATCACAATGTTCTTGCTGTGACTAATAGAGCCGGTACTGAGTCCAACTCAGGAAGGAGATTCTACGGATGCAAGTTTTGGATGGAAAGGAGGTTGGGAGAAGCTTCATTTTTCATTTGTGTATGTTTGAGAGTTGTGACCATAGAATCTGTTGATGCAGGAACCGAAAAAGAACTGCAAATTTTTTAGGTGGGTGGATGGAGAGAATAATTGTAGTCGAAGAGCTAAGGAAGGTTAAAGACGATGTTCGTCGTTGTTATTTTGTTGAAAGTTGTGTTACTTGCCGTAGTGTTGGCCAACCGCAGTAGTATGATTTAGGATGATGTGTTCTAAGGTTAGTGTTATGTATTGAACTGACAAGTAATGTGTTTATCGAACTTGTTTTTCTATATAATGCTTTGTAATGTAATGTAGTGTTAGTCTTAGTGCAAGAGACCTAAATGTAGTGCAAGAGAACTTGTTTTGCTTCTGTATTGAATTGGCAAGTAATGTAGTGTTAGTGCAAGAGACCTAAATGGCACCTTAACATTCGTAACTTGATGCATCTGTCTTAACAAACCAGGACTTAACAAACCATACATCCATAATGTTTTCACCATCAATGGAGTTTCCATACCATCCATTTCCTACCATCCTAACATCCATCTACTAACATTCATAATTTTCATTACATCCATCTCCTACTGTCCTAACATCCATCTACTAACATTCATAATTTCCATTACATCCATCTCCTATTGTCCTAATTTCCAGCTACTAACACTACTCTGAAAGGTGGATTAGACCACGAGTCACATAGCAAAAAAAGCTCCATCGAGTGCATCCATAACCCGCATAGTAAGCAAAAAAGGTGACTCATGGTGACTTTGGAATCTAAGGTTGTGTCGGAGGCGGATGGCTTCCTTGGATGTCCATCTCAGTGGGTTGAGTACCTCCAGCAGGACGCCCCCGTGATCCATTCAGGTGAAACAGATCATGAAGTTAGCAAAAAATCATAAACAGTGGGGGTAGCAAGAATCATTCCATAGAAACATTAAATCTCGATCTTACTACTTACCCTCACGTACTGATTCCCAGTTGCCTCACTTACATACACCCCCTATCCCTCTTGTTGCAACTCGCATCTCACGCTCAATCGTCCTTCGATCACCAACATTCAACACAACATCCTAAAAAGGACCTCGTTTAAAACATTCCACACAATATCAAATGACCACGTATTCAAAAAGGCTTACTTGTATTCGTTCTAGTTTTCAAGAAGGCTTACATGTATTCCATTTCCTCGGTTGAGGGGGCAGGTTCTCGTATTATGAGTCACCGAATGACACTTGGAACAATGGAGAACTCGCTTCGTCCTTTTATCAGGGACAACATTGTTTCCACCAGTTGTGTTGTTTGTAGCCCCATTGTTGTCTCCAGCTGCAACAGTGGGGGAAGCATTGTTTTCGTCACTAGTAGTGTTTCCAGCAGTGCGAGAAGTCATTCTTGTTGCTGTTGGAACACGTGTTTCACCATTTCGAGTGTTAGCCTAAATAGTAGAATGGTTGTGTTAGTAAGAATACCTGAAATCAATTAACAAAAAACTATTAGAAGTCTTAATCAAGTTTACCTGAATCTTAGCTTCAGTAGCTGATGCTCTAAAACACAACACCTAACAATGGCCAAGTGTAACCAATGAAAGGGACTGCAGTATAGTGGCACAAGTAATAAATATCGAATCCACGGGTCTCTAGAGTTACTATTACTCAGCTTCAATTCATTATCCAGCAAACTAGATTAAGGATTGATTAACTAAACTACTCTACTAACTAAACTAAGTAAAACTACTAATTACAGTTTGGGAACTCACTTAGGTATGATTCCCCCTAACTCCTCAATTAGGTCCAAGTTGTAATTCCTTTCGGTTGTTTTACTGTTGATTAAACTGCGGAAGATCCGACAGTAGCTTGGAATCTCTTAAGCTGACCAAGCCCTCTCAGTCTAACTATCCGGCAGACGACTAGTCCTCACCGGGATAGAAAGCTGAAGCAGTAAGCATAGAACTCCACTACTGGAATTAGATTCCAGTACAAAGCAGTAAACTGGCTAACTCTCGTATAGCCAATCTCCTACTATCGAATGATGAGACTCTAGCAACCTAATCAGATTCTATCTATCTCAGATTGTAGCAGAAATCAGGAAAAGTTGATCAGACTTCAATTGACTCAATAAACATGCATCATTCGATTATAATCAAACATTAATATCATCCCAAACTTCATACAAGAAAGATCCTAACTCATGGAACTAGGGTTCCTCAAAACCTAAGTGAAGGGAAGTTACTCCATAGAGAAGAGAGAGACTGCAGAAATCTGATCTAGATCTTCAATCTCCATCTCCAAGCTTGATTCCTGAGCTCCAATGGCGAAGACATCCTCCAAAATAGCTCCAAGAATGTTCCCAAGTCGCTCTCTCTCTCTCTAGGGTTCGTCCCTTGGGTGTTTGGGAACCAAAAACCCAGCTCTCCCCACTCCTTTTCCTAAAAATCGGGTTTTAACCAGCAATTCCCAACTCACACGGGCAGGCCGCACGGCCGTGTGGCTCACCCAGTTGCCCGTGCGAGTCAAAACGCAGCGTATCACTTAGTTGAATTACAGGCTTCTTACACGGCCAGGGTCGCACGGCCGTGCAGCTCACCCAGTCTGGCCGTGCGAAGCCTCGCAGAATTCCACACGGCCACACTAGTCACTTGCACGGCCATGTGGATTTTCTGCTCTGCCCGTGTTTGCTCTCGCACAATCCCACACGGCCAAACTGGTCACTTGAACGGCCGTGTGGGTTGTGGGTGTGCCCGTGCGACTTCCTTTGTGACTTGCCTCGCGCCCGATCTTCGCCCAATCGACCCCGAACTCGCTCCTAATCCTTCATTCACTTGCCAGGACCTGTAATATCACAAACAAGCACAACCTAGCGTGAAATCGGTCTAAAACACGAGAAACCACATCTCAAACGGTGTAAGAACAGGGGTGAAAACATGTGTAATTAACGGTCTATCAGTAGCTTTTCAGTCCCTTGAATTATGCCCCTCAACACCACATTTCTTGCAATGTATGATACTACCCCTTATAGTTACCTCCTCACCAACCCCATTCTGCTGAGGTCTCGTTTCCAGCTCGTGAGCAGCCCTTCATCGCTTCTTCTTAGGCCTTTCCAGCATGGCTCTTTGCTTCGGAGGATGAACTAGAAGACCAACAACATCTGGTCAAGTCCGCCTACCGTCTAAGCAATGCATGCCAGCCCTGTAGCCTCCCTCGACATGATGGGCCTTGTAACAAGGATGTACATAATCGTCCACCTCCTTCCTCATGTGTGAAATTGCCGAGATAGCATGGCAACAAGGCAGGCCACTCAATTGCCAGTATCCACATGTACAACTCTTATCTGTTAGGTCCACTATGTAGCCATTCTCACCCATCTTCACTTCACACTTGTCCGCCAATGTTTTCCTAGCAATACACAACCTAGAGAATTCCTTTTCTTTCTCTACCCTCTTCCTAATTCTAGGGCACAGCATGTCCGGGGAGTTCATCAACAAGTTGTACCTAATGACGAACCGGTCCATCATGTACAACCTAATACCCTCTAGCATGTCGATTATTCTCAAGCCCCTATACTTCACAATTGTGCCATTCAATGTCTCGCGGATATTGCTTTCAACACTATCACACTTAGACATTGTCGACATGAATGCTTGGCAAAAGAATCGGGGTTCGGCAACCATGAAATCAGTAAAGGGCGTGGATCCAAGTTTGGTACCTTGAATTGTCTCCATTTCCTTGGTGGCCTTCTTCCAATCGACCTCATTGCAAGCATAAACTGCCTTCCAGAACAGCTTACGAACCTAGTCAGTTTTGTTCCTTGCCTTCCAATTCGCATAAACATGGCGAGCACACTTGTGATGCTCTGCTTCCAGAAACAACTCATGAGTTGCTTCAATCAGACCCTACAACCACAAAGGAAACAGTTAACAAAAGGCAGCAAGTTACTAATACTTGGGTAAGTTAAACAAAAAAGGCAGCAAGTTAAATGTCAAACCTTTTTTTGGTCCGAGATGACTGTCCAACCCCTACCATCTGTTAACCCCAGCTCTTGAGAGAGAGTGTTGAAAAACCATATCCAAGAGTTCACATTCTCTCCCTCCACGACTGCCCAGGCAATTGGGTACATCTGATTATTTACATCCTTCCCAACCGCTGCAAGAATCATGCCCTTGAACTCCCCCTTCAAGAAACAACCGTCAAATCCGATAATTTGGCGACAAGGGAGAAGAAAACCGTCTCGGATGTTTGAGAACATCACAAACATCCTTTGAAAGTAGACTTTTTCTTGTGTAGGATGCGGTTCAACCTCCAGTTCGAACCAGCCTAACCTGTCTTATTTTTTCAACTCACCCAAGTATGACAGCAGTCTCTTGTACTCATCTTTCAAAGAGCCACTCAGAAGTCGAATGGATGCCACCTTCGCCCTATAACATGTCCTTCTCTTAACGTCAATGTTGTGCTTGAGTTTCACTTCGGCCATGATATGCTCTGGGGCCCATTCAAGATTGATCTTGAACCTATCTAGCATGTTCGTCGCAATCCACTTCGCCGTAACTTGATTCACCCGAAGCTGTCTCGAACAAGAATGTGGCAGCCCCACCTTCCTTACCATAAAAGTCTGGTTCTTCCTAAACCAACTTGCATACACTTTCCATTTGCAGTTTTCGTTCTTGCACTTCACTTCCCTCCTCGTAGGGTTAACCCTTTTCCACCTCAAACCTGCCCCATTTGCTACGGAATGCATAACCACGACAGTCTTAAACTGGTCAGGATCCTTTAATCTCATGTGAGCGACAAACTCTAACTTCTTGTGCTCACATTGAGGATCGTAGTGGGGTGCATTGTCGAACACATCAGCACTAGCCTCATCAGATATATTACCTCGCACGTGGTCAGAATCCTCAGAAATTCTGTAGCTCGAATGGTTACTTGTCTCCTTACGTGCTTATTTAGTTGGGCACACTTGCTGAGTTTCAGAATCTTCAACCTCCCCTTCATTCACATCAAAGTTGTCTAACCCAGCTTCTTCAACCTCTTCCTCAGATTCCTTCTCATCATATTCTACCTCTTCAAACTTGTCCAACTGTTCCACCTCCTCCCCATGACCATCAACCCTCGTTTTCACCTTTCTCTTCCTCATTTCTCCATATGCCCGAAGGTTGTTCCTTGCCTCATGGTACTCATCGTCGGAGGTGTCAGCATCATCGGAGTCGTAAACATGGATCATTGGTCGAGCCACAGAAGCAACAACTGTTCCGTCATCTGCTGATAGGTAATCAGCAGAATTCCCTTCCTGGTTTGGGTCATTCTCTTCCATTGAACTCACCGTCTTTAAGAAGGGAAACATCACCAATTACTATTTTAATAACAATTACTATTATAATCACAATGTTAGTGCGTTTTTAATCAGTAAACCAGAAAGGAAACATCCCCAACAAACATTATTCTATCCTAGGTTTTTCAAATCCAATGACGATTCTACCCAGAAATTTTTCAGTTGCTTACCTTCGAATTCAAGGGAAAACTCGCAAAGAGAAGAATTCTAGTGGTCCCGAGTAGACCCCTTTGTATCGCTTTCTGGTTTAATACCAGCTACGATCTATAAAAGGAAGAAACCAACAAAACTTTACAACACTGCACATAAAATCCATCTCATCGGAGCTCAGTTTTATAAACTCGTCACTTACCAGTCGACTGTAGGGAAGAAGCCCAGAAATCAACCTCCGCCGAAAATCAAGAATCTTGAGGATTAGGGTTTTGAACCGGCAACTTCATCTTGGGAAATCTTCGCCTTTGATGGTTGGTTCCCCCTCACCAACACTGAATCGTGTCGACGGAACATGGAGAGGATCTATGAAATGCCGGGATGCATGGCCGATTCGTGGAGGGGAGAGTGGTTTTGCTTCTCGTGTGGGATGGGAGTGAGATTTTCTGGTGAGGGGGAAAGGGGTTTTGCTTCTCGTGGTGGGTTCGTGGATCGGAAAGGATTTCGTCGTCGTTGACGACTACCAGTGCCGATCTGGAGAGGGGGAGCGTCGTAGTTCGTCGTTGGAGAGAAGGGGTTCGCTGAATATCGAATCAGGGGAAGGGAAGGGGAAAATGAAAAAGTTAGAAAGTGACTTAAGCGGCTGCTCGCATTTACCCTTTCATTTTTTTTTAAATTCCACGTGGACTTCACTTGTTTTACGATAATAGCCACGTCCGATGGTCCGTTTGTCCAGTCAGCACGTTAACTAACACCGTCAAACAATTGGACGGAAGTCGCTATTTCTGGTATTTCTCCAAAAATGGCTATATTTGGCAAAAACGTCAAAGTTTTGGCTATACAAGTGTATTTGGCCTAATTAAATACTAGGGATGGTAACCGATCAACCGGTTAGCGATATATCGGTAGAGGCCATGTGTGGATTGAATATCGATAGCAAATTACCAATCTACCACGATGGTATAAGATTTTCCACCAAATTACCAATCTTCATCAAAAGAGGTCAAGTGTCTTGACGTTATGCAAAGTTGAAGAGGTTTGTGAAGATTGGTTGTGTCTTGATCCTCCATCAATGTGCACATGTGGTCATTTTTTGATTGGATGACAACTTCTCCATTGTACGTACTCACCTACTTGTTATCCTAGGTCTGCTAGTTGAACAAATTGCTCAGCTAAAAGCTTTTATAAATTGAGGTCATGACTGTGACTTTTAACACTGGTCGTGACATTGTCCCTAGGCGAGACTGTTTTTTGCCTAAGTACGGTCACATTCTATTACTCACGACCTTAGTTGTAGATATCACGGTTTAACCATGACATCTTATAAAGGTGTGGCATTCAACCAAAATCACACTATTTTGGGACGATGTCGTGGATGTTGTCAAGGTTTTAACCGTGGCTTACTACACAAAGCCATGACTCATGTACAAATGCGTATATAAGGTTGTGCCCCTGTCTGGCCGTGATCTATCCCTAGGTCACTAAAATTCTCTGAAACTTGGCTGGAAAATTTTGCCTCCGATGTTTTCGACAATTCACCCACTTCCAGTAACCCAAGTTGAAAACCAAGCATACACCCACACTCCACTCTCCAAGGCGCTCCTTCGCTTGAAATCCCAAGTCGCTTGGCATTAGTTTTTCTGTCGAGCGACGAGGCTCTGGAATGATCGAAGGATCATTCCTACTTGAGTTTCAAGGTGGTCGTTGCCATTTTCCATATTAATTTTGGAAAAATCAGTTCTGGGATTTTTAAGTGGGGAATTTGGCACTCTTGCATGCAATGATTAAATTTGGCGAGGGACTAGGTGAATCATAAATGGATGAATCTCATTTGAGGTGTATGAAGGCTTTTCGATGTCGTGGTGGGAAAAGTTTAATCATCCTCTTTTGAATGAAATGCTCACCAAGTGTTTGTGAACTCATACCCTTTTGTGCATATTGTGCGGTAAGAATGAAGGCAAGATCTAGGGTTGATCTTGCACCCTAATTAGTCTAGGAAACCCCTATATTCATGCCTTCCATTGTTTTTTATCCGATTGCACTTAAAATATGAAAATTCAGGCTTGTTTCAACCTTATGCCTCTATGTTGCCGTGCTTAGAGTTTAAGTTTAGGGGAGTAGTGTTATCCCCCATACTCCAATTTCTGACATGTCTACGTGGTATCTGGTTTGGTGTATGTTTAAAGTTTATGGACCACCCATACATCCTTACCTCCAACAATTAGTGGATCATGCTGAGTACGGACGTAAATTCATCTTAGGGAGGACGGGTTTAATTGGCCCCTACTAGCACCTAAACCTCGACCAGTTTGCAGCCTTCCGCTGTAGACTTGTGATACATGTTGTGGCTCACCCCCTATGAAGGCGATTCCTCATCATGAATGAGGACATGTTCCTTGAGTTGTACGTGGATTTTTATTCCATGTACCAGCACATGCAACCCTGTAGTTGTCGTTAGGATCCATTTATTTCCTTCCAATTGTGGGGGTGGATTTGAGCACACCATGAGCTACAATTTTTTGGCTCATGCTTTGGGGCTCGACAAGGGCAACATGGGCACCACGAAGGTAGAGGACAGCAAGAATGCGAATTGACACGCTACGACACACCACCTAACAATGGCCAAGTGTAACCAATGAAAGGGACTACAATATAGTGGCACAAGTAATAAATATCGAATCCACTGGGTCTCTAGAATTACTATTACTCAGCTTCAGTTCATTATCTAGCAAACTAGATTAAGGATTGATTTACTAAACTACTCTACTAACTAAACTAAGGCTAAACTACTAATTACAAGTTGGGAACTCACTTAGGTATGATTCCCCCTAGCTCTTCAATTAGGTCCAAGTTGTAATTACCTTTGGTTGATCTACTGTTGATTAAACTGCGGAAGATCCTAAATTAGCTTGGAATCTCTTAAGCTGACCAAACCCTCTTAGACAGAATACCGACATGCGACTAGCCTTCACCGGGATAGACTGCTAAGGTGATTCACACAGATCTCCACTACTGGAATGAATTCTAGTACAAAGCAGTTAATTGACTGACTCTCGCACAACCAATTCACTACTATCAATCAAGGAAGCTCTCTTAACCTAATCAGATTCAATCTATCATAGGTTAAAGCAGAAATCAAGACAATTTGATCAGGATTCGATTGATTCAATAAATCATACCACAATTGATTATAATCAAACAATATAGCATCCAAAACTTCATACAAGAAAGATCCTAGCACATGGATCTAGGGTTCCTCAAAACCTAAGTGAAGGGAAGTTACTCCATAGAGAAGAGAGAGGTTGCAGAAATCTGACCTAGATCTTCAATCTCCATCTCCAAGCTTGATTCTTGAGCTCCAATGGTGAAGAAATCCTCCAAAATAGCTCCAAGAATGATCCCAAGTCGCGCTCTCTCTCTCTCTCTCTCTAGGGTTCGTCCCTTGGGTGTTTGGGATCCAAAACCCAACTCTCTCTTTCCTTTGGTTTGAATCTGCCTAAGAAAACCGATTATGGGCAAAAACACGGTCGAGGACACGCCGTGTTTAACTTTTGCCCGCCCATATTTTGCCCCCAGTAGCCCTCACGACACGCCCTCGGCAGTAAAAACACTAGCGGGGCCAAATAAAACACGACCGTGTTTGTAGGGTAGTCTGCCCGTCTTTTTACTGCCGAACATGT